AGTTTTAGCTGTGTCAGTTGTAACTATTGAATGTAATAACCTGCATAGTGTTAGTGAAATGATTTTTGGCCAGCCAAGAGAAAAAGTATCAGTCACAGATGTTAGTTTCTGCAAAAACCCCCTGGTCAATAATGAGCTAATATATAAAACTATACATACTGTTGTCAGTTTGTGTATTGAATATTAACATTTTTCTGACTAAATATTTATAAATATAGATTATTTCTCCTCGCACCTGAGTGGATTCTTTTTCTTGTGCTGTGTGCATCCTGCTTTGAATAAACACTGCTTTAATGTTAAAGATGGACTTTCTGATAGTTTATTCCTTGTTCTTTGTATCATTAAATAGATTGATGATTCAGCAAGTGTTCATGGAACATCTGTAGTACTGTGCACTGTTCAGATGCTGAGGATTCAGCAGTAAATACAACAAACACAAATCCCTCTTTACGACCAAATGAAGTGAGATGCAGTACGTTTAGACCCCAAGAGATAAACTGTGTAGGGGGTGGGAAGGAGCAGGGCTAGAGGGAGGGTGTGGGGTAAGGTGGAAAGGGGTTTGCAGATTCAGTTATGGAGGCTTCACTGAGAAAGCGCATTTGAATGGAGATCTTGAGATCTAAGGGAGTGAACTCCATAGACACTTAGGGGAGTTCAGTTCATTTGCTCAGTCGTGTCCGACTCTTTGCAACCCCATGGGCTGCGCAGCACACCAGGCCTCCCTGTCCATCATCAACTCCTGGAGTTTACAGAAAGTCATGTCCATTGAGTCAGTGATGCCATCCAACCATCTCATCCTCTGTCGTCCCCTTCTCCTCCCACCTTCAATCTTTTCCAGCACCAGGGTCTTTTACAGTGAGTCAGTTCTCCCCATCAGGTGGCCAAAGTACTGGAGTTTCAGCTTCATCATCAGTACTTCCAATGAATATTCAGGACTGATTTCCTGTAGAATGGACTGGTTGGATCTCCTTGGAGTCCAAGGGATTCTTGAGTCTTCTCCAACACCACTGTTCAAAAGCATCAATTCTTTGGCACTCAGCTTTCTTCACAGTCCAACTCTCACATCCATACATGACTAGTGGAAAAACCATAGCCTTGACTAGACAGACCTTTGTTGGCAAAGTAATGTCTCTGCTTTTCAATATGCTATCTAGGTTGGTCATAACTTTCCTTCCAAGGAGTAAGCATCTTTTCATTTGATGGCTGCAATCACCATCTGCAGTGATTTTGGAGCCC